TTATATGTTATTTGTTCCCTTTTTTTATTGTGACATTATGTGATTTTGTGGCTCAATATAAAGATATATATATTTCCTGTGATTCTAAAAAATATGATAAATTATAATAAAGTTAAATTATATAAATCACATTAAACTTAAACTGGGATAATCCATAACATAATCCAAACTTCAAATTCAAAATGTACATAATTTTAATATAAAATATACGTTCTTTACATAGCATTTATTACAATAATAGTGACAAGTTTATCGGATAATCAAGCATAACTCGACATGATCATTAGACATTATTATTTCAATCCTGCACAAATAATAACATGTGATCGACCTTCTTGGCGAACTAAAAATACAATTCAAATCAAAATATAACAAACATAAGAAACATTCATGGAACATATTTACATAAGCTCCATTCAAGACACATTCAAAAGCTCCAACAACAAAATAAAAATTCTAACAATGAACTCCATAACAAACTTCGTATTCAAAAGTTTCAAACTCTAACCACAAACATACAGCACATTCAAAAATTTAAGTTCCAACAATAAACATAAGACACGTTCAAAAATTCAATCTCCAACAACAAACTTCACATCCATAGAAGACAAAAAAATATAATTCTAAAGCTCCAAAAAAAACTTATTACACTCTATATCCAAATGTTTCAAGCTCCAACAACAAACAAAGTTTACATTCAAAAGTTGACGTTCAATTCTATAGATCTAAAACATAAGGCATAAAATCAACCAAAAGCTTCAACAACAAAATCTAAATCAAAATTCACATTGCGATTTTAGTTGCTTGTTTTGCAACGTTTTTTCCTTTCGTCACCGAGCAAAGAATGCAATTTTCGTTGCTACAAACATATTGCCAAAATCCATTTTTCTTATAGTGTTCCAAGAAAAAACATAAAACACATCCAAAAGTTCAAGCTCCAACAATAAATTAAAAGTTCAAACTCCAACAAGCCCATCAAAAGTTCAAGATCAACAAACTTTATAATCTCAAACTACAAACTCAAAATAAGTTTTAAATTCAACACTAAACTCCATAATACATCCTCCACCCCTCGGCCGACCTGCCCATGCTATTAAAAGCTCAAGCGCGAGCTTTATTTAAGAAAGAATGAGGACTGAATCGAATCTGACCGTTCGAAGTTTTGAGATTCAATCGGAAAGGATTAGACCCAATCGACTGGATATGTGGAATCCTTTAATAAGTAAATCTAAAACATAAGACACTAACAACAAACATCAATTAATATAATAATAAAAAAAAACATCCCACAAAAGCATCAAAGTCTCCCCCACTACGCCAATATCATACTCAAAATCAAAAGCTCCGTCAATAAACTTAAACAAAATCCACAATCCACGGTCAAGAATAAATGCTAGTGAACCATAACAACAATAATAATAAACTAAAAAAAACCTAACAACAACAATAATAAACTAAAATTTAATCAAATTCTAAAATATATTTAAAGCGCAAATTCCAAATCGATTACAATCTAATTCAAATATACATACTTTAAATAAAATCTAAACCGATTCCAAACCTTCAAGTTCCTAACAAATATTCCAAACTGAATCATACACATATTTTTAAATAAAATCAAAAGAATAAAAATTGTACCAAATAAAATGCCGAGCCCCAAGATGAACCAACAAACTCCGGGGAAAAATAACCCCCTATCTGCAAATAAATCTACACAAAAATAGGATATTAAAGGACAAATCAAGCAAAAATAAGTTTCCAAAAACAAATAAATTTACCTAAGGGTTTTTTTCACCTCAAAACAGCGTTGTTTTATGGTGGCGAAGAAAATATGTAGGTTAAAAAATATTTTTAGTCCTTGTACCTTTTACGAAAGTAATAATTTAATCTCTGAACTTTAATTTGTAACGATTTAGTCCATGTACTTTCAAATTAATAACAATTTAGTCCTTAAACTTTAATAGGTAATAATTTAGTCATTGGAATTTAAAGTCGGTAACAATTTAGTTTTTTTTTTTTTTTTGCTAAGTTTCTTATATGTATAGATTGATAAACTAAAGAGAGACCAAATATGTTTATGAATTAGAAAGATTAAATTGTTTTATGATTGACACATCATCTTAATAAAAAAAATTACGATAGAGACTAAATTGTTATAAATTTTAAACTACAGGGACTAAATCGTTACAAGTTGAAGTTCATAGACTAAATTGTTACTTTAAGAAAAGTACAGAGACTAAAACGTTACCAACTTGTACAGGGACAAAACTTGTTTTTTAACCAAATATGTATCGTTGCCTACAACAAAACGGCCTTGTTTTATTTTCAAAATGCGCCTTTTTAGGGACTAAATATGTTTTCAATGCTATTATTTGCGATGAAATACATTTAGTGACGAAATACCTTCTTGTCACCAAAATTTGGGACGAATTACCTCTTTGTCGTTTTTTTAGCGAAAAAATTGATCTTTCGTCGCTACAAAACATCCCTAAAAGCCATTTTTCTTATAGTGATATACCTTAACCAATGAGCTATAATCATGTTGACAATTAAAAAATACAATTTTTACTATTTTAATTTACATAATGATTTAGTTGTTGAAGTTTCATATGTAACCATTTAAAAAGATATAATCTTTATATATGGTTTAAAACTTGTAACAATTTAATTCATGAACTTTAGTATTTATCAATTTAGATCTTTATATTTTAAGTTGGTAAAAGATTTTAGTCCAACCTAAAAAATTTCATCAGTCAAAGTGTAAACATTCATATTTAGTACGTGAAGATGGTTTAGTAACTATAGCTTTAAAACACGTGTAAAATAAAACATAATGAAACAAATATTTCTCTCATATACATAAGCTATGAATGTGTTTCTCACCATTAAATTTAATCTCGTATTGGAAGGCATATGAACTTATTGAATTTAATCTCATAACGTTTATAGCATACTTTCTAGAAACATATTAAATATGTGTTTGAGAGTGATGCTGGAATCAGTGATTTTAGAAAAAACAAATTTAAGTATAATTGATTTTTCAAAATCATCCTCAAAGCGATACTATAAAAATCAATTTTCTAAATGCCAAAATCACTCCCAAACACGTCCTAAAACCACCTTAAATTTACTTGCAAGTACTTTAAATGTTTCTTGAATTTAAAAACATATTTTAAACTGTGAAATCAAAACACAAAAAACGTGAAAATTGACAGTCAACAAATAATTCACAATAGCACCGTACATTGATCATGACTACACGAAATGCATCTAATTTGAGAAATTGAAAATTTTGTACTAACTACTTATTGATGATGAAACGCAACTCCTCTAGTCAGTTCTTTTCTTAGGCCAACAATTCCTCCTCTTTGCCATTTGTCTCTGTGAACTTCTTTTGCCTTCAACCATTGCCACAATCCATTGAGGTTTCCCAATTCGAAAAAGAATATACCCAACAAATATTCCAAATACCATTCCACATCCATACCCCATGAACACAACTTTCCACCAAAACCCTTTTCCAAAAATGTCATCTTCTTCGTCATGTTGTAGTTGAGGTTTAGGATCCTTTTCTGCATCACATTTTGGCAGAGGAAACCCACACAGTCCAAGGTTTCCGATGTACGAAGAATTCTCGAAAGTAGCAAACTGTTTTCCTTGGGGAATTGGTCCTGAGAGCTGATTTTGTGAGAGATTCAAAAAGGAGAGAAATGTAAGAACAGCCAACTGAGGAGGAATGTTACCAGATAGTCTATTCGAAGAAAGATCTAACCATTCGAGATTGTTCAGATTCCCAAACGACGTAGGAATTCTGCCTGTAAGCTTGTTGTGTGAAAGGATGAGACCTTTTAGAGATATGAGCATCCCAATTGACTTTGGTACTTCTCCACTAAAATTGTTACTCGACAAATCAATAGCTTTGAATATAAGTAGAATTCTTTCCAACTTTAGTTCCAACCCTTTCAATGATACCACCACTGTGTCTTGATAGAAAGGTCGAATGGCAGATTCAAATGAAGGGTGCAGTTTTTGGTTTCTCGCTTCAACTTGTTTCATGGCTATCAAGTTTTTAAACAAGTTTGACGGCAGTGGCCCGCTGAAATAATTGCGTGACAGATCAATGATTCGCAGGTTTGGAAAAGAGTGCCGTGTCATGGAGTTGTTGATATGACCATAAAATCGATTGGATCGAAGGATAAGAACTTGCAAACTCGACGCAGATTGTAACCAGTGAGGGAAGTAACCTGTTATCTTGTTATTCCCAATGTTCAAAACTTGAAGATTCTCACAGTTCAACAAAGATGGTGGCAGTTCTCCTTCCATTTGGTTGTTGTTCAAATCAAGGCTTCTCAATTGACTTCCTCTCGAAAAAATGGTCGGAATAGTCCCAGAAAAGTTGTTACTTTTCAAATCCAATGCTGAAAGATAAGTCATGTTTGTTAGACATGGGGGAATTGTACCACTTAGGTGATTATTAGAGAGAGTTAGGATAGTAATGTAGGTGGCATGACAGATTGAAGGGGGAATTTCTCCAGTCAACTGATTTTCTGAAGCAGTGTAAACAATAATCACTGGAGGTGGGATGAGAATAGCACCGGAAAAGTTGTTCCTTTTCAATTCCAAAAACTGAAGCGCATTCAAGTTGAACATACAAGATGGAATTTCACCACTCAAGCTATTATTGGACAAATCTAGGAAATTAAGGTTGGTGGCTTGGCAGATTGAAGGATGGATATTTCCACTAAGTTGATTATTTGAAGCACTAAATCCGTACAATAATGGTGATAGCATAAGAATGGGTAGCTTATTGAACAAGTTAAAATCAAGAATGAGCTGGCCAAGATTATTCAAAGTGATGAGAAGCTCTATTCCTGAGGACAAAAAATTATGAGAAAGATCCAGGGTAATCAGAACACTCAATTCAGTAAACCACTTGGGAATTTCCCCTTGAATTTGATTATCTGAAAGGTTTAGATGGTTCAAGTTCTTCTGATGTCTTAAAAAGTAGGGGAATTTTTCTAATTTTAAGGAGCCCATATCAATGCGAACAAGATTACTCCCAAAGCTAACATTGGTATAGTGTACTGAAAGTTGGTTATTGTTGGAAATTTCAAGCCATGTCAGACTTTTAATTCTCAACATCATGTTTAAATTCAAAACCCCACTTAAGTTATTCGACCCCAAGAGTAAAGTTGTAAGATTCGGTTGTGTATAAATAGACTCAGAGATTTCACCTTGCAAGTTGTTTCCACTTAAACCAAGAAACTCCAAGGAGTTGGATATGAAATCCCCCATGGAAACATTGAAATTGTTACGAGAGAGATCCAGGTAGTTTAAGCGAGGCAGTTCATATATCCAACAAGGTATGACACTAATGAATAAGTTGTCTTCCAATCTCAAATCAATAAGATTTTTCAAAGAAACATTTGCAGGCAAAGAACCTGAAAGGAAATTAGATGAAGCTGCCAAGTTGGAGAGCTGGGTGAGGTGGAAAACAGAATTTGGCAGCTGACCCTCAAAAGAATTTGAATCGATTACAAAATTAGTCAGCTTTTGAAGGTTATTCCATGTATCCGGAAGTTGGCCATTCAACTTATTTCCAGAGAGAACAATGGAATTGAGCTGTGTAAGGTTTCCTATTGATTTTGGAATTCCACCGGTGAACTTGCAGAATCCGAGGTCTAAATACCTCAACAACTTGGCATTACCAATGGAGTTAGGAATCTCTCTTGAAAAATTAGTTGATCCAAGATCTAAAATTTCAAGAGATTTACTCCAATTAGTGATGGGCAGATGTCCCTTGAGTTCATTGTTAGCATCAAGCTGTAACACACGCAAACTTGGAAGACTCATAATGTGGGCTGGAAAATTCCCACTCAACCCACACAAAGAAAGACGAAGAGAAGCTAAAGAGAGAGAGAGGTTGGTAAAAGAAGTGGGTGTGATGCCTGAGAGATCCACACCAGCAACTGCAAAATTCCTTAAATTGGTTAGGTTGTGAACGAGCTGATTCATAACAAAGTTGGAGAATTTGAGGTAATTCGAAGAAAGATCGAGAGAAACCAACTTAGAAAAATGTGATATTTCGATTGGAACGTCCCCTTTAAAGGAGGATGAGGAAAGATCCAGAACCCTCAATTTCTGAAACGTTCCGAATTGAGGGGAGAGTGGAGATAAATTAAAAGAGTTGGAAGAAAGATTCAAACTTTGGAGGTGGGAGAGAGTGAAAAGAGTGCTGTTGGGATGGAGAGTTCCAGTGAGCCAACTGCAGCTGATGTCAAGTCCAATGACATGGCCTTCTCCTTCTTCATCGCACTCCACGCCATCCCATGAGCAGCAATCCGTGCTCTCCTTCCATGTCGCTGTCTTTGGATAAAAAGTTTGCCCCCACAACTTACTGCAACTACTTGACGAAGATTCATTCAATGAAAACCCTTTCTTGAACTCCAATAGAGCCAAGCTTTCTTTTGGATCACAGAGATGATGAGAATTGACAAGAAAATTGCAGAGAAAGCAGAGAAGGAAGAAGCTGCACACTTGATATATTAGCACAGCCATGATAAATGCCTGCCAAACTGTGCTTTTAGCTTCAAGTTTTTATATTGAGTTCTTTATTTTTTCTTTTTAATTGCATTTTAATTATAAATTGTAGGGTATTTGTAGTAGGTAGCAAAAAATATTTTATGTATTTCAGAGAATGCCACCAGTTTTTAAAATTTTCAAATATTGCAAAATATTTAAATTTTTATTTTCGGAATTTTTATTATTTCAATTTTACCTTTATGATATCTGATATACATCTAATCTACATCTGATGTATATCTGTATCTGATATACATTTAATTTATATATGATGTACATTCGATGCACCTCTGATATACTTCCGATATACATCTAATGTACCTCTGATATACATCTAATGTACACCTGAATCTGGTCAATATTAGGATATTCATTAAAACAGTTTAGACTTGTAATCAAGTTAAACTCCCTCGATCCAAATCTTACAAAGTTCCCATTTAGGTTTAATATCAATGTATCTTGTGGGCTATTTTCAGATATTTGGCGAATTAGATGCACTAATTTTAAAAGATTTCTATTTGGGTTGGTGCTAGCATATTGAAAATGTTATCTATTTATTCTAATTTTGAATATTGTTGCACTTTTGAATTAAAATACCATATTTCATTCATCTGTTAAAGTAAAATCAACATCATATCATATTTAAATCAGATTATTACATCAATAGTATATCAGACAATCATATCGGTAGTATATCAAACAGTCATTTCAGTAGTATATCAAACACTCATATCAGTAGTATATCGGACACTCATATAAATAGTATATCACATGTATATCAGATATACATATCAGTAGTATATCACACACTCATATCAGTAATATATCACACACACACTAGTATATCACATTTATATCACATGGAAATCAGAGGAAAATCGAAATGTAAGGTTTTCTGGACTCGGATTTGGGCCTGCATGGCAATGTTGTCATTTAATACATGAGCCTCATTTTATTTTTGAAAAAATGCTATATTTGAAAAACGAAAACATAGTTGCTATTTTACTAATTTTGCTATATATATATATATATATATATATTTTTTTTTTAAGTTGGCCTTAAATTATAACACCTTTCTTTTTATTTCTTTTTCATTCAGCACGTGAAAAAGAAAAAGAAAGAGAAATATTTGGTTTATTTATTTATTTTATATTTTGGACAAGCATTGGTGGAAGACAGCTGGCCTAATGAATTTGGACAAATTTCAATGACTTCAATCGTTTGGACAATTTCCAAGTTATTTTCGACCATTCAAAATATTTATGAATTTAGAAGTGAGTTGATTTGACAATTTACAAATCATTTTAGATAATTTTTCTGATGGCAGTGAATTGTGGATTTTTTATTTAACTAATTAATTACCTAGAACGAATCTATATCTAATTACATAATCTTTTATAATTATTACAATAATTTTTATCATGAAATATAAATAATATAGCCTATCTATTATTATTAATAGAATATTATATCATTTAAAATTTTATTAATGATTAAAATTAGTTTTATACAATTTTTTGTTTTATAAAAATTGTTAATGTTTTATATTAACCTATCTATTAATTCAAAAATAAAAGATATATTAGGGAATTACTAATAACTTTCAAACTTTTCATTCAAATAACACTTCAATATTATAAAATTTATGACGATTTCTTAAAAATTATAATAAACTCTTACAATAAAATAAGATTTAATATTTAATTTTGAAATAACTATTTTTTTTATTTTTTTTGTCTATTATTCATCTCAAATATTAAGTAACAAACATGCTAAAATTATTATAAAATTTGAATCTATTAGGACATTAAGCTAATAAATTTTAAAGCAGACACAAATATTCTAAAAGAAAAATAACATTAATTATAAAAGAATAATGGAAAAAATAGTAAGTAAAAACAAAAATCAAAAAATCTAGATCACATTTGTTAAAATAAAATTTTGCCTCGCCTCATCCTTATAAAAGAAACATCATTCACTACAATAATTTTAGGCTTTGCGACGATGAAATTCGTCGCTAAAGAGTAGAAATTCATTGCCAAAAGGTTTTTGCGACGAAAAAAAATCGTTGCCCAAGTCGTCCTTGTTGCCCCGTTGCGATAGGTTTTTGGTGACACAATCCTGTTTTTGTTGCCAAAGCTGGCTTCGGCGACGAAATCTAGGTTGTCGCCATAGCCTACTTTGGCGATGAAACCTGCATTTCAGTATTCGTGTCCAAGTGAGCAGCGAAGCCCGATTACATCCTGACGCCGTGTTTTGAGAACCTTGGCCTAGAGTAGAGGCAAGGTAGAGTTGTGGGGACCTAGAGTAGAGGCAAGCCGGCAAGAGTCACGAAAGAATTAAAATGCACGTACAGGTGACGTGCATTGCCGAGACAAGTTAGAATTCTGCATGCAAGTGAAGCTCGGTCGAGGAACGAAGAAGTTCGCCTAAGGTTCGACTAAGCCACAAAGGGTGCGAAAGGTGTATTGGGGCTAGAGTTCCTCGTAAGGCTTGCCATGGTCAAGCTTCAATCATGGCGCCGCACGGTTGAAAAATGTACGACCGTGACACTAGACATGCCTACAAAACCGACTAAGAAGAAAACAAAACTAAGAAAGAAAACTGATCTCTAAAGAAGCGACCTGGAGATCTCGAACTGAGAGTGAATTTGTCTGAAAGGGTGAAAAATGAAGACCTGAGGGGATACCTTATGTATACGATCCCAGAAGTGATCCTAGCCGTCCACGTAACTCACAACGAGCGACCACCGATCTAAGGGGTTGAAAACTGTAACCGCCGGTCAGAACGACTCGCCCAACAGTTTAAGGAACACTCCACCTCATATATCAAGTACGTAATTCTGTCTGAGAACGATCTACTATAGTTCGAGCTCATTCTAACTTGGGCGTCATAATATTTTTTTCCTGTGCAGGTCCCATTGTCGCTTGGGGTCGGACTTCGACAGCTTGCTCAATTAGCTAGTGACCGACCTGTAGATTCGGCGAAATTCTGCATCAACACCTAGTACGTGCGTACTTCAATAACTAATATATACCTTAATATTACTGACATAAACCTGAGTGTAAAATTGAAATAAACAAAAATCTAAAAATTAAGAATTCATAAATATTTTTCCATATAGGCGAAATTCAATAGAAGTTGCTCCATTTGAAAATATGACAAAATACTTAACCACCCATTACAAATATCCTAAATTCAAATGAGGCAGAGAATAGAAAAGAGAGAATTAGTCGGCTAATAAATTTTGATGTAGACTCTTTTGGAACTTCGTAGCAATCCCATCATCCTTTTTTGTCAAAACAAAATAAATATATTGTGGTTTCATTTTTGTTAGGGTTTGAAAAATCAACAAATTTGTTGAATTTAATTCCAACGTAAATGAGGTGAGGGAGGACATTAATTTCCTTGTCCAACAACGAAAATAGCATCGCCATCATTTCTCCCATTTGAATTTTCAACAAAGATTTTAAAATAAGGGTTCTTTTCATACATACATACATATATTCTACTGATTCATCTTTGACTGATTCATATTTGGATTTATTATTTCAATTTCCTCCGACTCAATTATTATTAAAATACGGTTGAAAACCTTGACAATTAATACCCATATATTTCGTAAAGGAAGCGGTATATCTCCAATCAAGAGATTGTACGTGTTGTACTAAAAAAAATTATCATTTATTTTCACTATGATTATCATGGTAGTGGTTTCCCATTATTTCTCTTGCTTTGATCTTTTGAGTTATCAGATTTACAGGATGAGGAGTAGAGTCACCACTCATCTAACTTCTCTTAAGCACTCTCTCAAAGAGTCATGGTCGGATGTAGAGAAGAGAAGTTTACAACATATTAATTATTAAGATTAAAAAAAATTTCATAACCACTCGATAGGAATCCTACCATTAATCTATCGCATGTATCGACGGGGGTGAGAAAATTTAAGAAGCTTAATTCACATTACATCTTCAAATTAGGCTAGCTAATGCACAAGTAGCTAATGCACAAGAAGAGAAAAGATTTTTTAGCGCAAGTTTTTTTACAATGTTACAAGTCAATAAGAGAATGATGAGAAGATAGCATGAAAAAAGTTGTGGTTGGGGGAAGAATCAAAATGTGCCCATTTGTGAATAGGTACCTATCTAGATTGCACCTCTTGAGAGTTTGTGATATCAAACGTTCTCTCATCAAACCAAGTGAGTGCTTAAGACAATTTGGAGCATTTCTACATTTTTTTGTTAGCATTTAGACTTCTCAATTGATGCTCAATTGAGTTTTCATTTCCTAGGTCTTATTTTATTCCATTTGCATTTAATAGTTGTTTTTAAGACTTTTGGTCTGTGGTATTTTGACATCCCTTTGGCATTTTTAAATGCCTGTAACACTCTAAAATGGGTAGAATATCATTAATCACAAAATTTTGTTTCTTAAACCCCCTTTGATATTGTTTTCTTTTCAAATATCACTTTAGGTTTGAAGTTTAATAAATTCATTTGAATTATTCTCAACCAAGCTAATCACAGAGTGAATTGTGTATTAGGATCTAGTAATAAACATTATACATTCAAGTTGGGTCTAAAAGTTATCCATCCTCTAAGCTCTTGGTTGGAGTCCTTTCTTATGTTAGCCATATTTGTAAATGTTTGCAAAGACGAACTTCTAATTTTGTAAATCTGGCATCTTTTGTGTCACCCCTCCTTAATCATATAAATTGTTACAATCATATCTCCGAACTTTTAGTTAGATTAATCACCACCTTAAACTTACGAAGCATTGTCAAATTTAAACCCTTAAATATTGAAAAATACACAAACCAGTCAATAATATGAATATTGACCTCTAAAATTCAAGGAAATATAACAAGAGTTCTGCCTAAAAGATTTTTGTCTGATCACCGGTCTAAATTGTGATAATTACTACAAATTCGATAAGATTCACTGGAAAAAGGAAATAATATTATTCACATTAGGAACATATATTAATACCATGAATCAATTGATAAAAGGTCTATTATTATAACAATTTTTAGCATTGTTTCTGAAAATTATGTAATCATTCTAAAAATTATAAATTTATCAATATGTACTTTTCATTTTCATACTAAGTATATTAGTTAACTCATATACAGGTATATGAAGTACATAATATAAGGTATATCAGCTATAGTACATCAAGGTTTATCTATCGTTTGTAGTACATCAAGTATATTCAATTGACCGATGTATCTTATATGAACTATATAAGTAATATGATATCATTTACCATTGGATATACTTCCCAAATTTCTTTCCCTATGGGAAGTAACTCATTTTTCCTTCTTTAGTCAAATGCTACTACAGAGGTTGATAGGAAGCAATAAGTCAGCAATAAGTCAATCTTTGTCGGGCTCTTTCTTTCACTACTAATCGAAAGAAGTTTCAACTCGAATGTACTCGAATGCTTAAGTTAGAACTCAACTTCGAAGCAAATAGGTATGTGGAGCAGTAAGAGTAAGATGACAGTAATCTCGAGGGCAAGAGGTGTGTGTTGATGAGGTATTGAACTTTAGACCTCCAAAAGAGGAGCATGATACCTTAATCGTTGAGCTATGCTCATGTTGACCATTCTTACAGGTTAAAAAACACTTTTTTTACTATTTTAATTTACATAATGATTTAGATGTAACAATTTAAAAGATATAAATCTCTATATGTGGTTTAAAATTTGTGACAATTTAACTTATGAACTATAATATCTATCAATCTAGATCCTTGCACTTTTAAGTTTGTAAAGATTTTAGTCCTTAACCTAAAAAAAATCCATCAATCGAAGTGTAAACATTAACTATAGTTTTAAAACACATTTGATCTTTAGTAATAAACTCCTAAACATTATTTTCACTAACCTACATCGTTTTTAAACTTTAACTAACACACTGACTACATCTTTTTACATTTGAAAAGGTACAGAAACAAAATTTGCTTGATATAAATTAGTTTCACTTTTCTATGTTTTTTTTTTTGAAACATTTTAAAGGTCTATTTTTAAATCTTTAATTAGTTCATTTAGAAACAAAATGTTTAGTTAAAATTATATTAGAATCTCCGTGGAAAATTAAAAATTGGAGTCCATTTATTACAATTGGAGACACATTTCCATTGTTTGGTGAAGAAATTAATGCCCCTCAACCAATTACAATGGTATTAAATTCAAAGAGTTCATATACTTTCTTCAAACGCAAAAGGATGATAATGGCATCGATATATCAAGTCACCATCTTCTTCCTTCTGTTTCTCTACAATTCTGATCTTGTGATCTCTCATCATCTATGCGATCCAAAAGAAAGAATGGCCTTATTGGAGTTCAACAAAGCCTTCTCCTTGAATGAATCTGCATCAAGTAGTTGCAGCCAGCAATCTTATCCAAAGACAGCGACATGGAACCCGACCGAGGATTGTTGTTCGTGGGATGGTGTGAAATGTGACGAGGAAGGAGAAGGCCATGTTGTCGGGCTTGACATCAGCTGCAGTTGGCTTGAGGGAACTCTTCATCCCAACAGCTCCCTTTTTGCCCTCTCTTACCTTCGAAGCTTGAATCTTTCTCGTAATTTTTTCCTTTTATCTCCATTTTCGCCTCAATTTGGAACGTTTAAAAACTTGAGGGTTTTGGATCTTTCCTCATCTTTCTTCCTTGGAGACGTTCCATTAGAAATTTCACAGTTGTCTAATCTTGTTTCTCTCGATCTTTCTGGGAATCTCCTTAGTTTCTCAAACGTAGTTATGAATCAGCTTGTTAAAAACTTGACCAATCTAAGAGATTTTGCACTTGATAATATATATCTCTCAAGCATCAATCCCTCTTCATTAAAGAACTTCTCCATCTCTTTAGCTTCTCTTCGTCTTTCTTCGAGTGGGTTGAGTGGGAATTTTCCAGATTACATTTTTAGCTTTCCTAATTTGCGTGTGCTGCAACTTGATTATAATTATGGACTGAATGGCCATTTGCCTATGTCTAATTGGAGTAAATCTCTTGAAATTCTGAGTCTTGTTTCAACTAATTTTTCAGGAGAGATTCCTAACTCCATTGGTAATGCCAAGTCCTTGAAATCTATAAACTTTAGTTCATGCAAGTTCATTGGTGAAATTCCAAACTCAATAGGAAATCTTACACAGCTCAATACCATTGATCTCTTTGCAAATAAGTTAACTGGTGGAATTCCAGAATCAATAGGAAACCTTAAACAGCTCAATACCATTGATCTCTCTGTAAATAAGTTCAATGGTCAGCTGTCCAATTCATGGAATAACCTTCAAAAGTTGACCAATTTCAAAATCCACATGAATTCTTTCATGGGTCAGCTACCAGATTCTCTTTTCAACCTCACCCAGCTCTCCAGCTTGACTACTTCATATAATTTATTTTCAGGTCCTTTACCCACAAATGTTTCTGCAGATAGGCTTTCAAATCTTGTTCATTTGAATTTGGAAAGTAACTCACTCATTGGTGTCATACCCTCTTGGCTATTTTCATTGCCTCACTTAAACTTCTTGGATCTCTCTGATAATCATTTCACTGGATTTGTAAAGGATTTTAGATCCCACTCACTAGAGTTTCTTGATTTAAGCAAAAACAAATTGCAAGGTGGAATCTTTGAGTCTATTTATAGACAAGTGAATCTTACATCTTTGGCATTGGGGTCCAATAATTTTAGTGGGGTTCTGAATTTAGACATGTTGTTGAGAATTCAAAGTCTAAAATCGCTTGACATTTCCAACAATCACCAGCTTTCGATACACTCTACCAATGTTAGCTCGATGAATCTTGTTCACATTGAAATGGGTTCCCACAAATTAGCAAAATTTCCCTACTTTTTGAGATATCAAAAGAACTTGAACTATCTAGACCTTTCGGATAGTAAAATTCAAGGGGAAATTCCCAAGTGGTTTTCTGAACTGGGTGGTTTGAATCACATCAATCTTTCTCATAACTTTTTGTCCTCAGGAATAGATGTTCTCCTCACTTTGCCTAATTTAACCAATATCTATCTTGATTTCAACTTGTTCAAATTGCCCATTCCAATGCTGCCACCATCATTGAACCAATTTACAGCTTCAAATAATCAACTTAGTGGAAACATTCATCCTTCAATCTGCCAAGCCACTGAGCTTAATTTCTTAGATTTGTCCAATAATTGCTTGAGTGGTGCAATCCCATCTTGTATGTTCAACATGACTCTTCTGATGTTGTTGGAACTGAAAAGGAACAATTTTTCTGGTCCTATTCCCATCCCACCACCATGGATGTTGATCTACACTGCTTCAGAAAATCAGTTCAGTGGAGAAATCCCTTCTTCAATTTGCCAAGCAACTTTTCTTGCTATCCTTAGTCTATCTAATAATCGTTTGAGTGGTGCAATTCCACCATGTCTAGCAAACTTGACTTCTCTTACAGTGTTGGATCTGAAAAAGAACAATTTTTCTGGTACTATTCCAACAAATTTTCCACCAGCAAGTCAATTGAGGAGCATTGATTTGAACGACAACCAAATAGAAGGAGAATTGCCACGGTCGTTGTTGAACTGTGAGAATCTTACAGTTTTGGATCTTGGGAACAACAAGATAACAGGTTATGTTAGTCACTTATAAACTCAAAAATTTAATTCGATAGTTTAGCATAAATTTAATCTTTTAATCATATTCTTAGCACATCTGCCCCTCGTGGACTTGATAAAATTAGCACCAGAATTTACAAGTAATTATCAATATTAATCTAAATGACATCAATTTTTACACTTTTATTGATATTTGTAACAGGGTACTTTCCCCATTGGTTAGAAGCTGCTTCTAGTTTGCGAGTTCTTATTCTGCGGTCCAATCGATTTTATGGTCATATCAACAACTCCATGAACAGATACTCATTTCAAAATTTACGAATCATTGATCTCTCGCTCAATCATTTCACTGGGCCGTTGCCATCAAAGTTGTTTATAAACTTGAGAGCCATGATTATGAAGGAAGTTGAAGTGGGAAACCAAAAACCCGACTCTTCAATTGAATCTGACATACTCCCTTACTATCAGGACTCAGTGGTGGTATCACTGAAAGGGTTAGAGCTAAAGTTGGAGAGAATTCTATTGATATTAAAAGCCATTGATTTGTCAAGAAATGATTTCAATGGAGAAATACCAAAGTCGATTGGGATTCTCATGTCTCTAAAAGGTCTCAACCTTTCACACAATAAGCTTACAGGTGGGATTCCTACGTCGTTTGGGAATCTGAACAATCTCGAATGGTTAGATCTTTCTACCAATAGACTGTTTGGTAACATTCCTCCTCAGTTGGTTGCTCTTACATTTCTCTCCTTTTTGAATCTCTCACAAAACAAGTTGTCGGGAGTAATTCCTCAAGGGAAGCAATTTGCTACTTTCGAGAGTTCTTCCTACATTGGAAACATCGGACTCTGTGGGTTTCCTCTACCAAATTGTGATTCGAAAAAGGACCATGATTCTCAAGTGCTAGATGAAGAAGATGACATTTTTGAAAAAGGGTTTTGGTGGAGAGTTGTGTTCATGGGGTATGGATGTGGAATTGTATTTGGAATTTTTGTTGGGTATGTTGTTTTTCGAATTGGAAAACCTTTGTGGATTGTGGCCATGGTTGAAGGCAAAAGAGGTTCAAACAGATCACAGAGGCCAAAGAGGAGGAATTGCTGGCCCAAGAAAAGAAATGACTAGATCAGGTGTGTTTCATGATCAATTAATATAGTTGTACAAAATTTCATTTTTTTCTCAAATTATATGTATTTCATAGTTAAGAATGAATGATACTGTCGTGAAATATCTAGATGGATTTGGATATGTCTTTTTGGATAGAAAAGCATGTCTTTTTTAATTTATATGGTAGAATAATATATTAAACAATCATTTACCAATCATTTATTAACTTAAATAATAAACAATATTAAGTGTAGTATATTTTTCACGATTCTTCTTGCCTGGTAGCTGATGCTGGTAAACATCCTTCCTATTTCTGGAGAAGTTTTCTTTGGGGACGAGAGTTGCTGCTGAAAGGTCTTCGATGGAGGGTTGGAGATTGGAGGTCTATCAAGCTTTTGTGGATTATTGGCTCAAAATTATATTCTCAGTTCAAAATTTCCTCCTCTTCTTCTAACGAAGCAAGTAGGAAGAAATTTTGGCAGAAGATCTGGAAGTTGAAGATCCCTCCCAAGATAAAAATTTTCATATGGTGAGTTTTGCACAACATAATCCCTACCAGATGCAATCTTAAATCTAGTGGCTTGTCGGTCCCTTTGCATTGCCCTATGGTTATTCTCCTCTTCATGCTGAGATTGGGGTTATCCGATCGAGAAGCTCTTCTGTTGGCCGAATGAATGGGGATTCAAAATCTGGTTATCTTTATTGGATTGTCTTGAAGCGATTCATCTGGTGTTGGGTTCTGAAGTAGCCCTTTCAATTTTACCCATAGTGGTCTTTTGCTTTAATAAAGTTGTTGCTGTTTAAAAAAAATTTAATTAAACAAAATCTTTTTATTTTGTACGATAAAATTATTGATCAACATAAATCAATAATTAAATTTAGATATTAATTAACTATAATGAGGAGAAATCAATTATTAATCACTACGAAAATTAAGACTTTTCTTAACCTTACGAAATGTTGGGAGAAGATAGAAAAACTTGGGAAGTCGTTCTCCCGACGAAAAGTTTTCCTTGGAAAAACGTCGGGAGAAGTCCGTTGGGATAGGAAACTGCTGACAGTTATTCCAAAAATCGTCAATAGAAATTCTTTGTTTTGACATTGATAAGTTATTTTAGGATCAGTAATTTGGGGGTGTTTTAAAGTTATTTTATAGTTTTATGGAAATTGCCTTTGGACTGTTTAATTGGCTTGAATGGAAGAAGAAGAGAAAAATAGCAAATCATTAAGCAACGTGAGCCAAAACTCCAACATGTTGGGCACCTAGAGCGCCTAATTAAACTGGAAAACAGAATGTTGGACGCATAGGCATTACGAAGTTGAAGCGAAGTTTTTCTAAAAGCACGCGTTTGGGTGCCCAGACACCAGAATCTATTTAAAAATTTCTTTTAATCCTAGCCGCAAAGAAGAGAAAAGAAGGAAATTTTAGGTCAAAAGTCATTGGAGAGAAGAGTCGGAGATTTTGAGAGAAGCGTAATGAATATAAAGAACGGACACTCCATAGGTCGCCAACTGGATTTGTTTTCTCTCTCTTTTTTCCTTGAGCTTCCTTCAATGTTGTTGATTAATATTTTCTCTTCGGATTCAAACCATGAGCTAAATAGCATTTCCTAGGACATCGATGTAGCCTTTATCAAATTTACTCTTCCATGTTCTTTATTTAATTTCTCTCCTAAACATGTTGGTTGTGAGAACTTTTTCTGTTCTTAACACATTGTTTAGATTTGGTCACTTTTCACAATGATTGTGTCATAAATCGGAGTTTAGAAACAAGATTATTGACTAGACTTGAATAACGATCTCCCTAATTAAAGCAAGAGATATAGATATTCTTATAAATATTATATATTGTGCAAAATACACCAATAACCATGGCTTCTTTTATCAAACAATATTAATCAACATCCAAAAAATCTATCAAGCAATAATTAAACTAAATCAAGTAAAGAGGGGAAGAGAAGACGACACCAAAATTTATAGTGGTTCGACCTGTGGTCTACATCCACTGTGCATGGTGAGAGCAAAACTTCTATTAGATTCAATATTCATGAACAATACAAATGGAAGAGTGAGAACAAACCCAAACTATCGAACAAAACGACCCGTCGAAGAAGATGAAAACAATGGAGAAAATACAAGGAGAATGCTCTTGTATTTTCACCTTTCGGTTGCTACGTACTTCGAGAAGAAGAAAAATTAATGCTGCTGTATTTTTTCTTTGAAGAAGAAAAATTCTACAGTCCCTCAATCGTACGGCAAGAAGGGTGCAAAAGTTAGGGCCGCACACCAATGTAATAAAGTAGCCACATAAATAGGCTTAAACAAAAACTAAAGGCCCAACTCATACTTTCTTAATAAACTAAAGAGATATGCTTCAGTCACAAAAACAATAAATCATCTCTTGAATCAAGTATATCCTCCAATAAGCAAACCACAATCTTGAACTCAACCCTACACTTTGACATCATCGTAAATAAACAACATTAGCCAATACCTACATTAAGTGGTCATAGAAAAGTTTAAATTTTACACCTGGTAGAGACTTTGTAAATATATGACAATATTATTTTTCAGATGCAATTTTCTAAAGCTCCATTGTCTGCTTGCTTACTTCATCTCTCAAGAAATGAAACTTTACGTCAACATGTTTTGTTCGGTCATGGTATAATGAATTTTTCGAAAGTGTATGAGCACTTTTACTATCACAGTGTATAATAGGTTTTGCTATCTCCCAACGTGTCCGATACTAGCCCTTTCAACCAAATTGCTTCCTTAACTGATTCAAATAATGCTATATACTCTGACTCGGTGGTAGATAACGCCATTACAGATCGAAGTGAAGATCTCTAATTTATTGTATTGCCAAATACCTTAAACACAAAACCAGTTGTAGATTTTCTTTTATCTATGTCGGGCGCAAAGTCAGCATCAAGAAAACTTTCTAAACACTGAGCATTAGAATGACCAATTGTGTAAATTATACCATAAACTTTAATACCTTTTACATGTCTGATAACCTATTTTACAGCTTCCCAATGTGGTTTATCTGGACAACTCATAAACCGACTAACAACACTCATTGCATAGGCTAAATCTGGATGAGTACATGTCAGTCCGTACATTAAACAACCTACTCTGCATTAGAGTAAGGTACCTTGACCATACCTGCAAGTTCTGTATCTGCCTTTGGAGACCGAAGCTTTGACAATTTGAAATAAGGGATTAAAGGGACGGTCATTGATTTTGCTACATCAAGTTGAAACCTCTTGATTACACTATCTAGGTAACCCTATCGTGTAATTATTGTTGGGTTTGTAAGGAATGCAAACAAAGTCCCACATTGGCTAGGGAAGTGAATGATCATGGGTATATAAGAGAGGACAATTATCTCTATTGGTATGAGGCCTTTTTGGGTTAAACCAAAAGCAAAGTCGTGAGGGCTATACCCAAAGTCGACAATATCATACCATTGTGGAGATACTCGGGGTACTTGGGGGGTACTGTTGTCCTTAACAAGTTGTATTAGAGCCATAGAAATCTATCTTTGTTCGAGGGGAGGAGATTGAGAGCCTATCATAGTCGGGTGAACTGATCTATGTTCAACCTCTTACACCATTGCCTCAAAGATTGCTTAAGCCCATAAAAAAACTTTTTCAATCTACAAATCAAATGTTGTTCTCCTTGAACAACGAAACCTGGGGGTTGATACATATAAATTTCTTCCTCTAACTCTCTATGCAAAAAAGTCGTTGTCACATCCACCTGCTCCAATTCATGATTAAAATGAGCAACTAAAGACAACAAAATACGAATTCAAGAATGTCTTACAATAGAAGAATAGACCTCATTATAGTCAATTCCATATTCTTGAGTAAAACCCCTTGCAACTAACCTAGCTTTGTATCTATGTTTGTTTTCACCACTAATACTAGGTTTTACTTTAAACAACCATTTGCAATCAACAAGCTTGTGATCTTGTGGTTTTTCTGCAAGCACCCAAGTCTCACTTTTAATCAATGAGGTTATTTCTTCATTCACAGCAATTAACCATTGATCACTTACTTTAGACTGCATTGTTTCATCAAAGTTCAAAGGTTCATGACTTAACGAGATTTCACCATAGTTTAAGACATAAGCTATATCATTTCCCTATTACTACATAACTTGCTTCATCATATCTTGCTGGTTGTCTAACAACCTTTCTCTGTCCATATCTAGCCAACTGGTAGTCTGACCCTCGAGGTTATAAATGGATAGTTTCGACATTTACAATTTCAACTTTTTCCTCAAGTAATTCACCAGTCAACTGATCATCAACCATGGCAGCTTCATTACTAAAAACAGATTGATCTTATGGTCTAACAATATGTGAGTTTTCTAATTCAATCTCAAACGAGTTTGAAGACGCACTATCTAGTGATTTCTAGTAACTCACACTACCTGAAAACTCCCAAGGCATGTCAAATTCATCAAATTTCACATCTCTACTAATAATACATCGCCTTTGACGACCGGGTTCAAATAGCCATAGCTTATAATCCTTCACCTTAGATGAATAACCAAGGAAGATACACTTCCTTGCGCTTGGCACTAGCTTGTCTTGTTTAACATGTGCATATGTATCACATCCTAATACCCTAAAATGACTAAGAGTTGGAGGCTTACTTGACCAAACTTCTTGGGGAGTTTTTATATTCAAGGCAATTGAAGGACTCTTATTTATGAGATATGCTACTTTCGAAATTGCTTCACCCCAAAACATATTTTTAGGAAGCTTTGCATTTGAGGAAGCTTTGCATTTGCTAGTATACATCTCACCCCCTCAGCAAAGTACGATTGAATCGTTCTGCAAGACTGTTCTGTTGTAGTGGGTAAGGAACTGTGTGATGTCGCTTAATTCCGGCTTCTTTACACAAAGTTACAAAGCTGTCATTTATATGCTCCAGACCATTATCTGTTCTCAAAACCTTAATTCTTTTCCCAATTTGATTTTCTACCATAATTTCCAATGTCTGAAGGTTTCAAAAGTATCACTCTTGTTCTTCAAAGTAAACGCCCACAACTTCCTCGAGAAATCATCAACAATACTCATAAAGTATTTCGCTCCTCCAATGATTGGAACCCTCGCTAGTCCCCACAAGTTCGAATGGACATAGTCTAAAATTCTTTTGGATAACTCTTTGCTCTTAGATAATTTTACCCTAGTAGATTTTCTAAAAGTACAATGCTCACTAAAAGGTCATTCTGAAGGCTTGAACTTACCAAACAAACCTTGTTTTTGTAATTCATTTAAGCCTATTTGACAGACATGAGCTAATCTATTATGTCAAAGGACAGTTTCTTTATCACCATGTCCTAAAACAACATTTGCACAATGAGCGACAGCTGAGGTTCCATTTAAAACATACAAGTCATTTCTAAGAGTACCTTTCATTTTTAGAAGTGAACTTTTATAGATCTTAAGTGCACCTCCCTCTAACTTGTAATTAAAACATTATTTATCAAGTTGTCTAAGAGAGATCAAATTTCTCTTCAAATCTGGAATAAAGCGAATAGCAGACAGATTCTTCTTCATTCCATCATAAAGTTTTAACTTGATTGATCATATATCCTTTACAAGACAATGTTAATTATTGCCCATAAAAAATCTTGCTAATTTCAAGTTTCTTAAAATTTTGGAAGCAATGTCTATGAGGTGTCATATGATAGGAACATCTGGAATCTATCCAC